CTTAGCTGTGGAGGGCAGTGTCACTGGCCCTCATATGTGGGATCCGAACCAGGGCCCTCTGGCGTCCCAAGCCAGTTCTTAACCATCGCACCACTCAGCTGGCCCTGGGCAAAATTCTTAATACAGGTTGGAGATGAGGGCCATGGGGGAGGGGATGGGCACCCAGGGAATTGAAAAGACAGTTCCAAGGAAGTGTGGTGTAGCAGAAAGGATAAGAGTAAGAGTGCAATGAAGCCAGAATTCCTGTGCTTTAATCCCAGCTCCATTACCAGTTTTGTGTGATGCTGGGCAAGTTTCTTAACCTCTCTGTGCCTGAGTTTCCACATCTGTCAGGTGGCACCAACACCTTAGGAATCTCTATGTACCTTAAAGGTGCTGCAGATTCAAAGCCGTGGTGGTCCAGGACTGGCCCCCGTGGGTGGGCTGACAGTCAATAACGGAGTGGGAATTAGAATTTGGCTGTAATCAATAGCCTTCAGGGGCTGCTCAGCTCTGACCCACCTCTTTATAATAGCTTCTCCAAGATGAGGGAGGCTTTCTAGGAGATGAGCTTTTGAATTCTCAGCTTTTCACAAAAAATAGCCTCCACACTGAGACCCTGGTTTGAAGCAGACTATTTCTTTGCTACTCAGCTGCTGGTGGGTGGGTAGATGGTGCCACCACGGGCTGCTCATTTCCTGAATGAACAGCTGTGCCCTCTCCTCACTGTCGAGAATAATCATAACACTACTTCAAACCTCGGCCCAGCCTCCTTCATTCATGGCCCCTGCACATGTTCACCAGCCGGCCAGCTGGGGCCTCAGAGAAAGGAGGCTGGACGTGAAGGGAGGGGCGGGCCCTTCCCTGTGCCTTGGCCTCCCTCATCCGCAGCAGACCAGGCCTCAGACTCCCCTGCCTCCTGGTCTTCATTCTCATATCCTACCTCTCCCTTTCCTACCCGCTCTGCTCACACCAGCCTCCTTCCTCTTCCTCCGGCATACCAAAGCTCACTCCCATCTGAGGGCCTTCTGACCAGCACCCCACACCCCTACCCACCCGCCATACCCCCCTCACACACACACACAATGTCTTCTTTCTAGATTCTGGCAAGGCTGACTCCTTGTCACTCAGAGCTTAGCTTAAACATCATCACCTCAGAGAAGTTCTCTCTGGCCACTCCCCTCTGCTGGCCCATCGGTTTATAATCCATCGTCAGCCACCAACAGCCCAAGGCCAATGCTCCACCAGCTCAGGAGCCGCGGGGAGAAGAGCTGGCCTCGGGATTGAGATTCCAGCCCGGGTACTGGCACCGGTTCTGACTGGCTGGGCCTGGGTCAGGGGTCCTGTGGACCACGAGAAAGGAGAGGAGACTTCCCAGGTGAGCGCCCAGCAGAAGGGATAGTGGGTGGTGGGCAGGGAAAATCGCAGGTGCCCACCACAGCCCCAGCCCTTCTCTCGGAGTGTCAAAATCAGGGGCTTGGAGCCCGGGGCTCAGGTCCCTGCTCTGTCACTGGGTAATTTCTAAGCCCGGTGACTCAGTGGAGCCCCACCACCTCTCCCAGCTGTTTCCCCATCCAGGTAAACCTTGTTCTAAGAAGCAGATGAGACAATGTCTGTGAGGGCACTTTGAGAACTGTTGTTATCTTTGAAAGAAAGGAGGGCATAGGAGGAAAAGGAGGGTTGAAAGAATTTGTGGGGGCGTTGGGTGCCCTGGATTCAAATACCCGTCTAACCAGATCATGAACGCAGGCATGACTTCTCCTTGTTGAGCCTCTATTTTCTCACCAGCAAAATAGGGATGATGGTGATAAAGTATTGGACTCTTGTGAGCTTTAAATGAGGGCAAAGCACGTTGCCTGACAGGTGGAATGCCCTCAATGTATCTTACTAGCTATTTTTATTCGTTATTTGTGTCTTTCTTGATTGTCTCTTTTGAAACCTCCCCCTCCTTTTCATTTTAATAAGGCTTCTTTTGCAAATGCCAGCCTGTCTCAGTAGTACTGAGGATACATAAGGGAAAGTCTGCCTTCTTTCCAAGCTGAGGTTGAGGTGAAGGGACCGGAAGAAGGAGGAGAAACCCCTTTGTGGAGGCCCCCTCCAGACAGCGTGGGGTTTACACTTCAACCTCCAACAGCCCTCTCTTCTCTCCTTTACAGACGAGGTTGTGGAGGGTCAGAGTCGTAAGAGACTTGCCAAGGTCATAGTCTGGAAGTGTTGGAGCTGAGATTCACGTTGACTTTTGTGGAAACTGGGCTCTCTCCAGGAGAGCTGACACTCCAGCCTGAGAGATTCCCAGGCGTGTGTGTGTGTGTGTGTGTGTGTGTGTGTGTGTGTGTGTAGCAAGTTTATTGCTCTCTTAGAGTCCTCTTCAATTCAGTAGAAATATCTCAAGGGTCTACTATGGATGAGACAGATAAAGATGTGGCATCTTGTGACTTACCCAAGTTCATTCACACACAAGGATCTCAGAGCCAAGTGAGGGACAGACCTGAGTACAATGTTGGTGCTAATGGAGGGCAGGGGACACTCTGAGGATCCCTGGGGACCTGGCTTTTCCCACCCTTGTCTGGAGCACCCTCTGGGGGAGGACCCTTTCTGCTGTGGCCTCCATTCTCCTAGACTCACCCCGAATCCCGCATCCCCTCAGCACACTCACACACACACTCACAAACTCACTCACCACCCGGCTTGCTCTTTAATTGTCAGAAATGCAGGCTGTCCTCAACTCTTCCTCCCCTGCATTCCTCAGCAGCTACTCCCACCTGGCAGGGCAAATTATACCCTGGCCTGGCAATAAAAGCCACTTTCCAAAAAAAGAAGCTTTAGGGCCCTGAGAGACGCAGCTAACTCTCTCACCCAGCCTGCGCCTGACGTGGGAGGTGGTGTCTGGGTCCCGTGTCCCTTTAAGCAGGGAGTACAAATTCCCATCTCAGTCCCTCCCTCCTGTTCTTCCTGACGTCAGGAGGAAGGCGTGTGTGTGAGTGAGTGAGGGGCCCGAGGTGCCGCATGCACACACACACACACACACACACACACACACACACGCACGCACGCGCGCACGCACACACACACGGTCTTACACACAGCACATCTTTCAGACCCATCCCTTGGATGCTCCCAGCTCCAAGCACCCAAGAGAGGCAGAGTGCCAAAGCTGGCTGCAGAAGGCAGTCCCCGACCTCAGCTGCCAAGGAGAGGTAAGGGGCTAGATGGGGGCCCGAGGCCACACCAGCCCTAGAAACTGGCTTTGGCAGGGACGAAGGAGGGAGGTGTGACATGGGGGCGGGGGAGGGGGGCTGGGAAGGTGGGCACCGCCCTGGGGCTGGCCCAGCCCAGTTGAATTTACAGAGGGGATGTGGGAAGATGTGTAGATGAGCCCACCTGGCCCGCCCTCTGCCTGGCCCCCAAGGGAAGCTGAGGCTGTGTGGCTCCCTGGGAGACAGCGCATGTGTCTGCGTGTATGTATGTCTGGGACTTGTGTCTGGCTCAAGAAGCAGAGAACAGCAGACACCTGCCAAGCCGCAGCCTCCTGTCCGGGAAGCATAGGGAGAGAAATGACTAGAATGATCGTGCTCCCGCCAGCGTGAAGCAGGAGCTTAATGGGCCTTTTCCCAGGGGAATTTAGGGCTGGGGCTGGGGAGGGATGGTCAGGGTCAGATAGTCGGACCTGGAGCAGCTGTCTTATCCTGACTGTATTTTTTCCCCAGTGTGATGGGAATAATTATGTTAATTGGCTTGAAGAGGTGACTCCATGCTATTATTTTTGCCTCGGAGCCACCCCACCCATAGCTTTTGCCTCTCCCAAGGGCACTCCTCTCTCCTGCTTGGTCTGGCTCTGTCCTCCACCCTTGCTGGGGGTGCAGCCCCTGGAAGGGCAAAGGTGATAAGCCAGGGGCTGCTGGACCCCTTGCAGTGGGATGAAGGGATGGGGGCAGCGTTGGCTGGCACCACGTCTCTGAGTGGCCTGATCCTGGCACAAGGACCAGGAGGAGGTAAGGGGTGATGCTGGCACCCACAAGGGAGACAGCTGGCTCCTGCCAAGCTGCCAGCCTGCAGGCTTTTCCCAGGAAGAGGGGAGGGGGTGCAGAGCCAGAACAATAATAAATACAGAGTGTGAACTGCTGTATCCGCTTGGGCTGGGGGAGGGGAGGCGGACGTGCGCCCGGTGGGGGGTGGGCAACCTCTGAGAGCCTGGCACCATGCCCGCCTGGATATGCTCCAGTAGCGGCCTCTCCCTGAGAAGGGGCTGTCTCCAGCCCCATGGGAGATGGGGAGCCAGTTCCCCAAACCTGACTCCAGCCCAGAGGCCTCTGTGTCTTCCAAATTATGGGTGTTTCCTTCCTCCAGCCTTCCCCCTACTATTTTCTTGAAGTCTTTTCCAAAACACCTGTTTTCCCAGATCTGCCCCACCCCCTGGATCTGTCTGCCCTACCGCCCAAGAAAAATGACAGGTGTTAATAAAGCCTTGGCCACAGAGGCCTCTTCAAGGCCTGGAGAGAGATGGATGGGCAACGTTCACAGATGCCCACTGGCCATGGAGGGGGGGCTCCCTAAGGGGTACTGAGGGGTCCCACACAGCTGGCTGGTGGGGAGGTGACACCTGCAGGCTGGTCTGGAGGTAGGTCCCCAAGAGTGGCACCAGCAGAGGGCGCTCAGGGCCTGGCTGAGCTGGTCATGTTCACTGGTCACCACCAGCGGGGCCAGGGCCCGGAGCCTGGTGGGAAGAGGGCTTCGGGCAGTTCAGACCTTTGTCCATGCATAGCAGCAAGATGGGGGGCAAAAAGCAATGGGGGCCTCTTTCCACTGATGAGCCCCAGGATGAGTGAAATGACGGTCACCAGGATGAGTGGCACAGTGTGCTGGAAAGGTCAAGGGCTTTGGGGTCAGGCTGATTGGAGTTCAAGCTCAGCCACTCATGTGTTACGTTGACCAGTCTGTGCCTCTCTCTAGGGGGACTCTGAGTGGGAAGGTGACTTGCCCAGGGTCACACAGCCTAACAGAGCTGGGATCTGTGCATGGCTGCCAAGGTACCCATCTGGCATTCCCACCCCCACTGATGCCAAGAACAACCAAAGGCTTTAGTCACAGCAGCCCCCTAGGGTAACATGAGCACAAGACAAGGAGGAGAATTAAAGGCTTTCAATTAAACTCAAATATTGGCTGGGGCAGCACCCCCCTATGCGCACACACACACACACACACACACACACACACACACACACATATACTCACACTCACACACACACACACACACACACACACTCACAGAAGCTGTGTGTGTTGGGGGAGAACCAGGTTTAATTAGGTCACCTCCAGCTGCTGGAGCAGCTTCAGCACTGATGTATTTTAAGGAGTGTCAGGGAGGCTCGGTGGGGCAGGGGCTGGGGAAGTGCCAGCTTCTGTCTGGTGGCCCTGAGGCTGTTTCCTCACCCTCTTGGGGCCCACCATAGATAAGACCCCAACATTCAGAAAGCCCTTCCACTGTCACCCTGTGTTCTCTATCATTCCCATTTTTAGGCCACCATATCCTTCCCCTCCCCACATCTGCTTCTCCACAGTGGGGGCTTGGGCTGGGACAGTTTTTTGGGGGGAGTTGTTTTTAAGCTTGCCAGGGTTGGCAAGTGACTCACCCAAGGTCATGGTCTGAGTCAGCACAAAGCCAGAAATAGAGCCCCGACCCTGGCTCCCCGGTGTTTCCAAACCCCTGCCCTTCCTTCTCCAGGGGAGAGTGGAAGCACACAGGGACTTGCTAGTCCTCCCTCCTCTCCTCCTGCCAGGGGGGTGCATTCCTAACTCCCCCCCCAAAAAAATCTCCAGGGTGTGGAAGAGCTGCTCCTGCCCGGCTGTGTGACCTTAGCTAGCCTCTTCACCTCTCAGAGCCTCAGTTTACTCTTCTGAAGAATGGGGATAATAATGGTACTTATCACACAGTGTTGCTGTGAGGACTAAATGAAGAAGTGGGGCAAAAGGCTTGGCACCCTATTTGGTACATGGTCGGTAATCAATAGTGGTAGCCATGACTTGTATCAGTACTTCCCACACTGTGTTCTCGTCATCTGTCTGTCCCCGCACGCTGGGCTTAGGGCCCTCTAAGGGCTGGCTGTCTCCTCTCGTGTTTGTTGTCCCAATGCCTGGCACTCAGTTTTCTTTCAGTTGTGCACGTGTTTTTGAAAACTTCAGAGGACAGCTGGACTGACCCTCATTAGTCACCTGGACAAGTGGCAATTACTGTAGCTGAGGAGAAAAGTGAGGCCCAGATAGGGGCAGTGCTTGCCCCAGGTCACACAGCACTAGGGGGTTGAGCCAGCTTGCTTTCCCTGATCTGCCAGAAGGAGACATTATTTGCATGGTCAAGAGAGGGCTCTGACAGCCATTCCCTACCCTGTCCTTTTTGGGGGAGCTGAGAATTGGAGGAGCCTCAGCACAGAGCAATGGTCACCTGCGGACAAGGCTGAGTCACAGTCCCACGGCTCTGTAACGCTGCATCACCAGGGCCTCCCTCAGGTTATTTCCCAACAGCCCAGAAGTCCTGGGCCTTTTGTCTGCAGAGTCAGCTGGGATTTGGCTTTCGTGCAGGGAAATGAAGAGGAGCTTGGCTGGAGGGTCAGAGCCAAAACGCATGGCCAGAAAGGTGCCCACTGACAGCGCCTCGGCTCCTTCCACAGCTGCGACAGGATGCTCCGATTAGCCCTAGGAAACAGGCTCAGAAAGAGAGGGTCACCCAGCTAGGGCACTGGAGATTCAACCCGGGCTGTCCAGGTCCCCAGCTGTCCTCCCACCCTCAGGCTGCTAGTTCTGAAGGGCATTATTCTGAGTAGCAGATGCCCCCAGACAGGAACACTGAAGCCTTTGGGGTCTGGGCTTTAGGTCGGCTTGGGTTGAAACAAATGTTCTACAAACATACCTGTTTCCCTGCTCTTGGAGTTTATTTTCCCCTTTAGTTTCTCAGGGAAGGTTCTTTTGGGAAAACTCCAGCCTCATCTTGGCTGAACTAGGAACAGAATTTATCCTCACAGGAAGAGCACTGTTCACCTTCATGCAAATCTTACCTGCTGTGTGACCTTGGGCAACTCATGTAACCTCTGAGCCTCAGCTTCCTCATCTGTAAATGGAAACAATTCTTATTTCAACATTTCAGGGCAACTGGAAGGTTGAAAAATAATCTCTGTAAAAACTTTTGCGCTGTGTATGTCATTCAGACAATAAAAGCCCCACCTTCACTTGCCCCTTTCTGCAGCAACACTGTAGAAAGAGTCTGGACTGGAGTCTTTCTCTGCATCCCCTTGTTTCCTTTTCCCCGGTCTCTTAGGCTGCTGGGCGTTGTGCAGCTCCTTCAAGTCCAGGGCTCTGGCAGGGCCCAGAGAGGGAAAGACTCTGTCCAAGGTCACAGAGAAAGTCAATAGCAATGCAGGGCCTGAACCCAGGACTACTGACTTCCCACTCCAGGCTGCAGAGTCAGATTGCCCTGGTTCGGGTCCTGGCTCAGACATTAATTGCTGTGTGGCCTTGAGCGAGTGACTTGGCCTCTCTGAGCTTCAGTTTTCTCATCTGCAAAATGGGGTAATAATAATACCTGCCTTAAAGGGCTGGTGAAGGAATTTAACAAAAGGAGAAGCTATGAAGGGTGGGGCAGGGATTTAGTGAGTGAGCCAGTCCTTGAGGAGGCAGGAGGCTGGAAAGTGGAGTGAAGGGTGAGCTTGGTCTCTCCTTCCCCCCACTCCCCTCCATGTCCAATTTAGCAGCCCTGTCTGGGAGGAGCAACCTCTCACCCAGCACCTATGCAGTGTTTCCCACATTCCACCCCATTTCATCCTCCTAGGACGGCGGTTCTCAACCTTCCTAATGCCGCGACCCCTTAATACAGTTCCTCATGTCGTGGTGACCCCCAACCATAAAATTATTTTCGTTGCTACTCTATAACTGTAATTTTGCTACTGTTATGAATCGTAATGTAAATATCTTTTTGTTTTCCGATGGTCTTAGGCGACCCCTGTGAAAGGGTCGTTCGACCTCCAAAGGGGTCACGACCCACAGGTTGAGAACCACTGTCTAGGAGCTCTCACTTGAGGGAGTCTTGTAATCCCATTTTCCAGAAGAGTTAGGAGATAGGGGAGAGACCAGAGCAGCACGGTGGCGGCTGCTTCATCTGTCCCTCCTATTCTAAGGCCCACTGACTGCCTATCTTTTACTGAGGGTGCCCCAGGGGGTGGGGGGATGTAGTGGGGGAGTAGCCTCAGCTGGTCCATTTTGGGGAGCCCATTTTAGGGAGGGGCTGTCTTCCTATCAAGGCTAACCCTGGATAATCAGTGTGTGTGCCCCCTTCCCACACGTGGGAACCATGCTCATTAGGCCTAGGGTTGGGAGGAGGCCTGGCTGGCCAGAGCCTGGCCCAGCTCAGCTGCATCTCCCTGGTAACAACTGTAGCTGCCTCTGCCCCTCCCCCATCTCCTTCTCTCCCCTCCACCCGCTTCGACCTCACAGCACTGGCTGTCACCGCCAAGCACAATTACCAGGCCTGGGAAAACTGTGCAGTGGGAGGGCCAGGGCCGCCCTGCTTTCTGGAGAGAGGGGGGCAGAGCTTCGGTCCCTACCACGAGCCACCCTCACTCAGGTGGGGAAAGGGGCACCCAGGAGCGTGCGGCAGGACCTGGCATTTTGTGCTTTCCTGGCTGTAGCCTCTTGGCGGGGAGGTTGCTGCCTGTCTTCCTTTTTGGTAACAGCTTTATTGAGCTATATAATTCACATACCATGTAATTCACCTGCTTAGGGTGGACAAGTCAATGTTTTTTGATGTAGTCACAGAGTTGTGCAACATCACCACAGTCAATTTTAGGACATTTTCATCACTCCAAAAAGGAAACTGTGCTTGTTAGAAGTCACTCCCCATTTAGCCCGTCCCCAGCTCCTGGTAACCACCGATCTGCTTTCTGTCTCTATGGACTGGCCTGTTCTGGACATTTCACATGAATAGAATCATGTACCCTGTGTTTTTTTTTGTGTGTGTGTGACTAGCTTCTTCCACTAGCATAATGATTTCAAGATTCATTTATGTTGTAGCATGTGTTGGCATGTCATTCTTTTTTCTGGCTGAATAATATTCCACTATACAGCTGTACCACGTTTTGCTTATCCATTCACCAATTAATGGACTTTGGGTTTTCACTTTCTGGCTGTTATGAAAAATGCATTCATGTACAAGTTTTTATGTGATTGCTTCTCATCTTGAAGCTTCCGTTTTCTTCCCTCTAAAATGGGGATAAAAATGCCAAAGCTGGCCCACCCCTGCCTCCTGGAGTGGATTCAGGGAGAAAAGCCCCACATCAGCTTGAGGGGACTTTGCGGGGCCATGAGGGGCCGTGAGGGGGCCGTGAGGGGCAATTCTCACTCCCCTCCAGCTCTCCTGACTGGAGGGGGACGTGTGAGGGGCTGCTGGGGAGGAGGGAGTCTGCACCGCTACCCTCAGCGATGACAGAGCCAGCTCATCATCTTGACCCAGAAACATCCTACTTGCTGTGCGATCTTGAACAGCAGCCAGGAGACCTGCTCCAGTGACGGGGGTTGAGCAGACGACTCCTCGCGCCTCCAGCCATGCAGTGTTTTGGAGCTTACTGGGCTCTGGACTCCTAAGAAGCCTTAACCGCTTCCCTGGATACTCCAGGCTTATCGGGTGTGGGGAGGACAAGATGGAGGGCAGAAATAGACTTGCAGCTCGGGGATTCACTTCTGACCCCAGGGCCTTTGGGGGTGCGGGAGTGAAGAAAAGGGGTGAGGAGGTGGGGAATCTGTCCCCCCCACTCCTGTATGACTATGGACTCTGGGAGCTTCTTTATATCCCCAGGCTGAGCCAAGCCCCACCATAGCCTATGAGGGCTGAGGCAGGGTTTATCAGCTCCATTGTACAGATGAGGAAACTGAGGCCAGTGGAAGTGCTACCCAAGGTCGGTAGCTAATACCCAGCTGAGCTGGAACTCTCCTGTCCAGGTGTCCTGCTCGGCCTACCTCTGCTTCAGTCAACGGCCTGGCTCGTATGCTGAGCTGTCCTCCCCAGGCTTCCACAGCAGTGTCTTTGGAGTCCCAGAGTCCCCAATCCCTGAGGGGATGGACGGTGGGTGGGTGCATGGCAGGGAAACTGTTCTCTTACTCAGTAGAGGAAAATATAGGATGATTTTTTTCAAGGTCGTCTAGGCACTGAGCTATTGACATTGGGAATGTCTATTGATTAGCATTGATAATAGCATTTGACTGGGTATCTGTGAGATGCCAGATGTTATCACACACTAAATCATTGACTCCTCAGCAATCTTGCATGGTTAAGTATTCTCAAGCTCATTTTAGAGAGGAGGAAATGGGACTCAGGATAAATTGCCAATCTTCCCACAAGCTCAGCATGCCCTGTCCTGTTCTATGCATGTAGAAAGTCACTTAGTTCTCATAGCAACCTCTCTATGAAGTAAGAACTAACACAATTCCCATTTTACAGAGCGGGAAACTGAGTCAAGGCTAAGAGTATTGACCGAGGCCACGTGGCCGAGAGGTAGAAGAGCCAGGATTCAAACCCAGGCCATCTGGGTCTGGAGCCCACATAACCACCCACATATTAAAACTGTTAAGTGGCTTGCTTGAGGTCACCAAGTTACACATGACAAAGGTGAGATTTGAACCCCGGTCTGTGGGTTTGAAACTGCTAACACTTACGCCAAACTGTGTTCCAGACTATCATCGAGCACTTTACCCAGCCTCCGGAGTTAGAGAATTAACTTGAAACTGGAAGGACTTTGAGGCTAGTCTTAGCTTGGACCACCATAACAAAATGCCACAGGCTACAGGGCTTAAATGACAGACATTTACTTCTCACCGTTCTGGAGGCCAGAAGTCCAAGCTCATGGTGCGTGTGGCTTGGTCCTGGTGAGAGTCTTCCTCCTGCTTTGTAGAGAGCCCTTTTGCTGTGTCCTCACAGGGCGGGGAGGGAAGATGCAAGCTCTTCAGGTTTTCTTCTAAGGACAATAATCCCGTCATGGGGCCCCACCCTCCTAACCTCACTTAAACCAAGTTACCTCCCAAAGGCCCCATCTCTAAATATCAGCACAGTAGGGGTTAGGGCTCAACATATAAATGTTAGGGTAATACAACAGCCTGTAGCAAGGTTATATGACTGTTTTGTCTTTCTGGTGAGGACGCTGAGTCAGGGAAGGGCCATGAGTGGCATGACGTCACTCTATGAGTTGTGGCAGGCAGGCGCAGTCCTCCAGACTTGTGCCCAGTGTCCAGAAGCTGCCCACCCTGGACTACACTCACCTCTACTTCTCTCTTCTCCTTCCAGACGGAGCCTGTGGCTGGTGAGGCCGTCGAGCAGGGCCAGGCCGGTCCCTGCCCGCAAGGACGCCAAAGCCCTTCACCGGCCCCTGTGCCTGGGAACCCACCAGGCTCTCCTGCTGGCCCCACCATGACTTCAGAGCCCACATCGCCCCCAGTTGTGCCCCCGCTCCACTCCCCCAAGTCCCCTGTCTGGCCCACCTTCCCTTTCCACCGGGAGGGCAGCAGGGTCTGGGAGCGGGGCGGTGTCTCATCTCGAGACCTGCCCAGTCCCCTGCCCACCAAACGGACCAGGACATATTCAGCGTGAGTACCTGCTTCTTGCCCAGGCCCCAGGGTCTTTCCCGAGGATAGGGCTCCAGCCCCATCCTTCTCCAACTCCTGTTGTCCTCTCCTGAGGACAGGGGAGCTGGGTATGGAATTTCCAGTGACTGCTAGTGTTCGTTCGTCCATTCATTCATTCATTCATTCATTCCACAAAGACTCACTGAGCTCCTGACCGAGAGGATCCAATTATGAATAAGACAAAGTGTCAGCCCACAAGTCGTATACAATCCAGAGGGAATTTGTCCATCATTCACTGCCCCTGGCAGGGTTGGGGGTGAGGGCCCAGCACTGGGCATTAGGGAAGATGATGTCTTAGCTGGGACTGGAAGACACATCAGGTGAAGGAGGAAGCTGGAAGATGGAACCGCCTAGGCAAAAGCGGAGGCATGGGCTGACCTTTGGAGTGGGGTGGGCAGGCTGGATGGAGACTAGCCCTGGGCCTTTGGGGTCGGTCACTGGGTGGGGTCAAGTGGGGGAGGGGTTTTGGGGAGCCACAGGGAGACTGAGTTGGCTTGGCCAAAGGAGGGGTTTTTTAATGGCGATTGCTGACCGTAGTCCTATGTTCGACCCAAGGCCAGGCACAGAGGAGATGCTTAATAAACAATGAATGACTGGGTGAGTGACAAATGAGTGGAACTCTCATTTGTCACTGCTTTAGGAGACACTGCTTTAGGAGACAGTGAGGAGGGGAAGGTGCTGTATAGAGAGAGGGGCACTGTCTGGCAGTCAGGAGACCCACTTGCTGTGCGCCCTGGAAGAGCCAGTTCCCTTCCCTGGGCCTCAGTCTACTTACCTGACAAATGGGATGATGAGAGGACTGAGCTAGCATAACTGTTCAGCTTCTGGCCAGGGTAGGCTTTCCCACAGCCCTGGGGCAGGCTCTGCAGGCAGGGCCCAGGAGGGCTGTGTGGGTCCTGGGAGGGGGCCCCCAGGCCACAGCTCCAATCCCCCTACCCTACCCTCAGGACAGCCCGTGCCTCGGCTGGCCCCGTGTTCAAGGGCGTCTGTAAGCAGTTCTCACGCTCACAGGGCCACGGCTTCATCACTCCCGAGAACGGGTCCGAGGACATCTTCGTGCACGTATCTGAGTGAGTCGTGTCCCTGGTGCTCCATTTCCGTGAATCCCTCCCACCTCCCTGTTCTTGGCTGGGCCCTACTGCGGCGTCCCAGCAGTGCCTCAAGGAAGGCCTCCCCAGGCCTCTCCTCTCACTAGCGGAGGCCTGTGCTCCTGGCGTCTCCCTCCTCCTCTCACAGGGCTGGGAGTGCATGGGAGGAGGAGGCATGGGGCCAGGTGGGGTGGGGGCACTCAGACCCCGGGAGCCCTGGGATCCTGTCCCAGCATCAGGGGGCTGAGAGCTTTCTGTACAACCTCAGGGACCTCCCCATGCCCTTTCATATCTCAACCCCCAAACAACGCAGAGAGGAAGGGACAGTTTATGATCCCCGTTTTACAGATTAGAGGGCTGGCTGAGGCTCTAAGAAGGCTAGGCCACCGCGGGTGTCCGGGGAGCGGGGCCTGCTGCTGGGCTGACGTTCCTCTCCTGCCCACCAGCATCGAGGGAGAGTACGTGCCGGTGGAGGGCGACGAGGTGACCTATAAGATGTGTCCCATCCCGCCCAAGAACCAGAAGTTCCAGGCCGTGGAGGTGGTGCTCACCCAGTTGGCCCCACACACTCCCCACGAGACGTGGTCTGGCCAGGTCGTGGGCTCCTAGGCTGGGCGGCGAGCCCCCCAGGGTGGACGGGCGGCAGCTGGCTCCGTGCCCCACTGTACTTGCTGACTCAGTCCCCTGGGCAGCCTCAGTGTGCACGTCTGTCTATCTGTGCTTGTGGCTGTGAGCATTTGCCTCCATCCACCCCCCTGTGACCCGTGACTATTGTGTAAGCTGGACCGAGGGGGAGGCCACCAGACCTGCCTTCTCTGCTTGTCCCCTCTCTCTCCTTCCCCTCCCTGCCACATAGGCACAGGATCCTCTCGTCCTCCTGTTCACCCGTCCATGTGTCCACTGAGCCTCTGAGGGCCTGCGTCAGGCCTGGGGCGGGAGTCAGGGGGCAGCAGGGGGCCCCCTACCTGAAGAAGCTAGCTCCCCTGCCTCTGCCTGAGGCGCTGGCCCCAGGGCCAGGCTCTGCTTGTGCTACTCACACCTCCCACCCTGGGCCGGGGCCTCCCACTGTGGCCTGGACCCCACCCTCAGAAGCCAGGCCAGTGAGCACTTTGGGGAGGGGGGGGGCTCCCAGACTCTAGCAAGGGGAGCGGGCAAAAGTGTGGGTAGGCAGGCCTGTCCTCCATGCCACAGCCCAGCCTTCCTGTCTGTCTTCCTCCCTCCCTCCCTTCCTTCCTTCCCATTCTCTCCTCAGCACACATGAAAGAGGCAAGAAAGAGAGGACTGAGGGTAGAAGGCAGTTTGGGGGCTCTTGTGTTGCTGGCCACAGTCCCTCCTCGCCAGCCTGACAATGGCTCTGTGAACCCCAAACTGAGGCTGCATCTCCCCCCTGGGCTATGCTGAGCCATGCTGCCTCCACTTCCCGAGGAAGTGTGGTCTGTGGAGGGGTGAGGACACGTCTCCTTCAGCTTGGATGGCGTCATCCATCCCCTTTACCAACTCACAAGCTCCACTGATGTTCTGTCTGTGCCCAGGCATGATGGCTGCTGAGGGCCTAGCGATGGATGGACACATGTCCCCTCAGGCAGGGCCAGGCTGGGGCACCCACAGGAATGGCCCGTAGCCTGGGAGACCATTAGCCTTGCAGCCCCCTTGCTGGACCCTCTTTGCAAAGCCGTGGGACGGTGGCTCCCGCTGGCCCCCAAGCCAGTGGCTGAGCTGTGGTCCCTGTGTTGTCTGTCCCTTAAAGTATGTGTGTTGTGTGCATTCACTCTTAAGTGGGGGTTGACCTGGCCTGAGAGGCTAGGATGGAGGGCTTCCCCTCCGCCCCCACCCCCACTCCCTTCCAGAGCACATCGTCTGATGGGGGCAAGAAAAAGGGCTCGAGGGAGGGCCTGCCAGGACAGTGGCCCTTAGGAGACCCAGCCTGTGAGTAAACAGGGGCTCAAATGCCCAGGATGAGGGGGTCAGTGAGTATCTAAGGTTCCCAGCCCTGAAGGTACCCCAAGACCCCAGGGTGGAGATCATCTGGGGTGTGTTCCACCCCTGCCCCCAGTCCCCACCACAGGGGCTGGAAGCCCAGGGCTGCTGATATGTAGGCCAGCCCCCAAAACTGAGAATGGCGCAGCCTGACACCCCACTCTGAGCTGGGGCTACTCTGGCAAGACCTGAGGCCTTTCCGCTAAGGAATAAGGACTCCCTGACTTCCCTGGAGGGAGGTTCATTGGTGCAGGCTAACTCCTGGCAGTCCCCCAAGACCCCCCTCCTGTGAGTAGACCCCCTTTTTCAGGAACTAGCCAGGAGGCAGGATGTGGGAACATGAGGCCTGGGGGCACCTGTGGTGGCAGAAAGGCAGCACCGCTCCTCTCACTCATGGTCCTGCAGTATCCAGTCAGAACCCCCCCCCTGAGCCCCCCAACCACCTGGACTCCCCATTCTTCCTAACACTGGCAATAAACCCTCAACTGTGACTCAGCCTGGCCCAGCGCTGCCTCTGTCTGTCTGGGCTCCTGGGGAAGGGGCTGGGGAAGGACACCCCAAACTAGCTCTTGTTTGGGGTTTCAATGGCCCACCCTCCTTTACTGGATTCCACAAAGACTTCCTGAGTCACCTGGGGGCTCATTTCCTAATCTGCAAAGTGGTGACTGCGGCCAACTATCCATTCAGACAGAGACGACACCATACCTTGTTCCGGGAACTTTAATGTTTGTGACAAAGTTCTTGCAAATATGCACTTTCCCCACTGCTCTGCACCCCGCTTGGGACAGGCAGGCAGGGCGGGCTCTGTCTCATTCCAACACTCACACATGCCTCCTCGTAGCGTAGACAGAAACCCATTCTGTTCAGAAGTACAAGCAGCAGCTGTAGCCAGAGCCATTGAGATGAAGGGTGACGGACCCAGCCCCACCAGGAGCTCACCGCTGGGGACGAGCTCCACACAGACTCTGGCCCCATCAAGGGGGGCCTTGCAGCAGGTGATGTGAGGCAGGTGTCCTGGGCCAGAGGAGGGGCCCTGGCTCCCCACCCAAAACACGGGCCAGGGGCTCTCTTCAGGCCTGGGCAGAGGTCTCCGGACGTCCCGGTCATGCCTCGTGGGCTGTTTCTGGGAAAAAGATCTCACGGCATCGCTGCACTGTGTCCTGAGGGGAGACCACACTGTGGCCCACAGTCCGGGGGTCGGCATAGATCTCAAAGTCATTCCCACCCTGCACACAGAAAGGGCAGAGAGGGCACACACACAGGTGGTACCTGGACGAGGTTCCTAGGGTGGGGGCCCAGCACCCACCCTGGCACGGGGTCCTCTCCCCACACTGGCTCCTACAGAGCTACCCCTCCTCCTGTTCCCTCAGAACCACCAGAAAGACCCCCTTCTCGGCCTTCACCAGGTCTGCCCTATCTTGGGGGGGGGACGTGGAGCAAATGTTCAGCCGGCTCTGGGCCCCAGCCTTCCCATCTGTGCAGCGGGGCTGGTGAAGCACGGGCTGCTCTCTACATCTCCCAGGTCTGTTCTGTCATCTCATGTCCTGGCCTTGACCTGGGCATGACTTGGGGTAGAGAGGGACCTGGGTTGAGCCATACTCACGGGGCTGGTCTCATTCCCAAAGAAGTGGATGGTGTCGAAGCTGTCCTGGTCCAGGCTGTCCAGGCAGTAGCGCTTGTCCCAGCCCTCAGGGAAGACGTCAAAACTGATCATGCCTCCTGCGGGGTGGACAGAGGCCAGCGGAGTGGCCTTCAACAACCCGAGTGCCTGCTGAGCTCCCGGCACAGAGTATGGCAGACTCGGGGTCCTACGGTCCAGGCGGGAGACCAAGCGGTAAACATACCAGGCCACCTCAGGGCATGTCAGTTCGTGGGGCGGGGAAAGGGACGCTCCCCAGCCAGCATGGTCAGGGGAGACCTCTTTGAGGAGGCGACACTTGAGCTGAGGCCTGAGCCAGAGCGGCGATGGCTAGGGAGTGGCATTCCAGGCCCTGGCACAGCGAGTACAGTCCTCAAAGCAAGGGAGGGCACGGTGTCCCAGTGACAGAAAAGGCCTGGGGAGGGCAGAGGTGAGAGCACGCGGGCCCTGGGGGCCAGGGTTTTATAAGGATAGTGAGGATGTAAGAGCCTCTGCAGGGCTCTGGGCAGGGGTGTGACATGGTCTGCTTTCCCGTAAGGATCCCTCTGGACGCTAGGGAGTGGACTGTAGGGTGAGGCCGCAGTGGGAGACCAGCGGCGTTAGTTCGCAGATGGGGCCTGGGATGAGGCTGCTGGCAGCTGAGGTATGAACATTAGTCCAGAAGCATTCTGCACATTCTGGGACTTGCTCATCGAATGGACTTCAGAAAGGGTGAGGGGAAAACTCAAGGGAGATGCTTCAGGTTTTGGCCTGAGCAACTGGGTGGGTGGTAGGGTGCTGAAGACTGGGAGGCCGTGACATATGGAATCTCGCCTGTTTGAGCTCAGCCAGCCCCTGAGGGGTGGGAGGAGTTTCTGGGAAGTGCAGCCTGGCCTTGGCAGTGAGGCCCCAGGGGGGACTCTTGCTTCAGGCCTCTGAGGCCCTCCGTGGGGCGGACGTACCTCGGGAGAACCTCAGCCCTTTGCCAGCAAACTCCGTTTTCAGGGCTTCCACGAACTTCTCCCGGATCTTCTCCTTCTATAGGAGGGAAGGGAGCAGACTGAGGCTCAGCGGCTGCTGTGTGCCAGGCCCTGTGCTGGGCACACAATTCACGTGAACTCATTAAGTCGTCCGGGTGGATAGCATGACCCCCATTTGACAGATGGGAAACTGCGGCTCAGAGGGGGTTGCTCCTGTTCTAAGTCACCCAGCCTCTGTGGCAGACCCAGGGCCTGAACCCAGGTCTGTGATTGAACTCAGTGTCAGGTCCTGCCAGTGGGGATGTGGGCGGGGTATTCTGAGGGACACCTTGGAGTCGAGGCTCAAGGAGGAAGATTGAGGGGATGGGGCCATCTGAGTCCCAAGTCACAGAGGCCATTTCAGGGTAGGGCTCAGCCCCATTCAACAAAGCGAACCATGGGTCAGACACCAGAAAGGAGCATGAGGAGCCAAGGGCCTGTGAAGACCTGTGAATAAGTGGCAGTGGATGCTCAGAGAGAGGTCAGCAGGAAGCCAGGCATGGCCACAGCATAAACCACACGATGCCCAGCAGTGCCCAGATCCCACCCCTCGCCAGGACCTTGAAAGTCTGTAGCATGTCTACAAAGATGGAGTAAGGCAACAGTCACTCACTAGCCTGAGGATCCCTAGCCTGGCCCTGCTGGGGCCACAGAGGGGAGCAGCCATGCTGGGCTGGAGGGGTAGCTGTCTTGGCTGCTCACTAATGGGGGCTAGCACCACAGGAGCAAATGGCTCACTCAGCACAGTTTCGCTGTGGCCGAGGCACGGAGGTGGGCAGTCCCCACGTAGCCAACGCAGTGGTGAGAGCTCAGCAGGATGATCAGCTCACAGAGAGCCTAGAGGCCTAGTTGGGGAGTTTGGACACATCCTGGGGACCAAAAACCACCAAGGATTTCAAAGCACAGGAGTAGAGTACTGTGTTTTAGTCAAAGAGTTGGGTGGGACTGGAATGGAAAGGGAGGTAAGCGGTGGCCAGCAGTTGGGTGCCTGGAGAAGTGGTCTAAGGAGGATATGAGCTCTGAGGCCACATATGACCCAGCCTCAGAGATAAAGGCAGGCTGCCTGGGTTGCAGACCTAGCTGCTGTGTGACCACGGGCAAATCGCCTGACTTCTCTGAATAAATGTTCGCACATGGCCCAGGATAGCTGCACCTCCTGTCTCTGGAGAACCAGGCTGGTTATTGGACAGCCCCATGTGCCCAGCCTAGCCTCAGCAGGGACTAGCACTGTGACGTCAAGCTGGTCACTTACCCTCTGGCCTCAGTAACCTCATCTGTCCTCAGGATCTGAGGGACTGAAGGAGAGGAAAGCATTTATATGGGATCTGGGCGGGTGTAGGGCACACAGGAGACCAGGAGGTCCATGCCCCTCTCCAACACCAGAGGCAGGTGGACAAGAGCCAAAGAGACAAGAGAAGACCTGGGGGCTGTGGGGAGACCTCCGTCTCACCCAGTCCTCATTACAGCCCGTGAGATGATAACTATGATTGCCCCCACTTTACAGATGAGAAAAAAGGCACACAGTAGTGAAGCCACTTTCCCAGGTGACTGGACAAGTAGAAGGCAGAGCTGGGGCTGGAAACCTTGGTGGCCTGAGAAGGCACCATCTTACACTATGTGTGTGGGAGGGTTTCTTTGCCAATGGTCAGTCTTAACTATTCTAACAAGAAAAGTCTCCATGCCCATGGGCACTGTCTACCCTAAGCCTCTGGACAGGGAGTGGGGTGGGGGTCAGTGAGCTGGGGGGTGTCACTGAGTATCCCACTCATCCAAGGGAAGCATCAGAGGGCAGTGGGCGGGGTCTCAAGTTCAAATCTTTGCTCTGTAACCAACTCCCTATGTGACCCTGGGGAAGTCACTTCCCCTCTCTGAGCCTGAGTTTCCTCATTCATAAAATGGGGATTACACCACCTATTTCATTCATTCAGAAAGTATTTCTCGAGCACGTTCTGTGTGCCAGGCATGTGCTGGGCACAGGGGATTCAGTGGTGAACAGCCACAGAAATCCCAGCCCTTAAGGAGCTTACAGCTGTGGTGGGGGAATCAGACAATAACCAAGATTTTAAAAACTGGTGATGCGATGTGTTAAGAAGGTGGTGAGGACTGCTTGGGGAGAAATCAGAGGATCAGGAGGCACAATGTTAAATGTTAACACTTGGGGAAGGTCCCACTGAGAAGGTGACATCTGAGCCCATGTGAAGGAGGTGATAGGACGTACCACGTCTGAGGGCAGCAGGCACAGCCCTGAAGTGGGAGACCGTCTGCTCTCTTTAGAATCAGCAAAGAGGACATGGCCGGAACAGAGAGCGAAAGCAGGGGAGCAGAAGGCCAGGTCAGAAAGGACAGGGACGGGCCAGTGTGACAAGGCTTGGATGGATGGACCTGCTCCATCCCTGAAAGGGAGTGGGTGAGTAGTGATGACAAGTAAAATGCAAGTCAAGGTTGAGCAAGGGCAGCACATCCAAAGGCGAGAGGGACTTTGGTATGTTCCGAGCACAGATTCAAAGAGAAGGCTGATGAGGTGGGCCTGAGCCAGGCAGACCCCCCCCCCTCCCCCAGGCTCAAGGCATCACGGCAGGAGGCTGGGATATTGTCATTGGCAAGGGGAGCCACGGAAAGACTGGAAGCAGGGAGTGGACAGGGCAGATGCGCTTTAAAAGGTTCACAGTGGCACTGCTGGACAACAGACCGGCAGGGTTTTAAGGTGGCTGGGGGAGACATACACACAGGTGATTTGAGACTCCTGTCATTTGAGACCAACCCTGAATCAATAGGAATGACTGTTAGACCCTATGTGGGTAGGAAGGTGGAAAGGATGCCCAAGGGATTGGCTTAGGTAAGTAGGTGGCTGGTGGTGCCCATCACCGGGGGAGGGAAACCAGTGATGTTGGGAAGATGCACCCATACCTACAACCATAACACATGGCAGGCAGGTGTCCAAAAGGGTATTGGTTCTATCAGAACACCCCGCCCCACTGATCCATTTCACTGATGAGAAAATAAAGGCTCAGAGAGGTTGAGTGCCTGAGATCCTACAGCCTCTCTAAGGTTGCACAGCTGGAGGCACCTTGTCCAGTTCCGAAAACTCGATTCGCTCCTCCAGGGTGCAGCTCCGGCCGATGGGCGAGATGTTCAGCATGCCATTCCGGAACTCGATGAAGGTCCCACTGGTAGTGATGGGGGTGGGGAGCCAGAGAGAAGGACAATGGCCCTGTATTCAATCCAGCCCCGTCTGGACTTCACAGGGGACAAGAATCCACCCACCAATAAGTCTGGGCCCAGCATCTCCAGGTCCCCTTGGAGACACCCACCCCTTTCCTCCTCAGGCCCAGGACTGGGAGGAGGAAGTTGGACACAAGGCTGGGTGGGGTCTCACCGCTTCTTGGGCAGTCTCAGTAGGGCCATGTAGTGGAGGCAGAAGTTGATCAAATCCTGCAGCAGTTCCTCCCCGAGGTGGTTTTGGATGGTCTGGGCAAGGAACATGGGGCATGTGGTGGGGCATGGACAGAAGGTACTCATGGACTGTCTCACTGTGGAAAAGTAGCCCAGGCTAAGGCCTTGGGGGCCACTGACCTGCTTGGAGAGCAGTCGTCCATGCTTATACTGCACTGTCCCATTCTCGGCAAACACATAGTCAAACTTCTCAATGACTTCAGGGATACATAGAGGCCAAGGGAGAAAGAGAGAGCATGAGACCAGGTACCCAGAGCCAAGGAGAGAGATGAAGCCCGCACTTCCTGGTTTGGCATTCAAAGCCCATTTGTTCCATCCCAAACCTGCTTTTCTAGCCTCCTTGCCTCCTGCAGCTTTGGTTTTTTCCAAACAAACAAACAAGCCAGTCACACTTCTGGGCCTTTGCTCAAGCAGGTGCCTCTGCCTGGAATGCCTTCTCCCATTCCTCCCCCTCCACGCCTCCAAGATCCCCAGCTCCCTTCTCTAGAAGCTTTCCAGGATTCCTCAGCAGAGGGCGTCATTTTTGCTCTGTGCTCCCACAGCCCCTCTGTGCTTTCCTTTTGTTTCACAGCTTCCATCACTGTGTTGTTAAGGCTGGTTGCATGGGGCAGTTTTCAGCTCAGGATGCCATGAGAAGTGTCTGGACTGGGCAGGAATGGGGAGGCACAGGGAACACCGCCAGGAAGCTGTGGCAGGGTTCAGGTGGGAGGTGATCACCCGGATGATGGTGGGGCAGTGGAGATGGAGACAGGACACACAGGGAAATATTTCTGGACCGGCTGATGGAATGAGCAAGGGGGTGGGGCAAAGGGAAACTCAAGGAAGTTTCTGGTTTGAGGAGCTGGAGGCATTTGCCTTGAGCTGAGATCAAGAACTCAGCTGAAACAGGGGTTCTGGGTCCAAAAATGTCCTTGGTGACTTCAGAATCTTCCCTCTGGATAATCATTTAATCCACCCTGAAGCTTGGTTGTGAGGATTAAATGAAAGGAAGTTAACACATGGTCATTTTCAACAAATGGTAGCCATTATTGATTATGCCCATTTTAAAGATGAGGAAATCAAGACCCAGCAGGGAGAACTGAGATGTAATCTATGTACGTGCAGGATTCTGTCTGTTTTGTTCCCTGTTTTTCCTTCAAAGCCTGGCACAGTGCCCAGCATGTGGTAGGTATTCACTAAGTGGTTACTGAATCAGCGAGAGAAACATCTGGCTGTTCCCTCTACTTGCTTTGCCCCACAGAAGCAGGACTGGGTCTTTGAAGGCACACGGGTCCAGGGATCTCCTGAACTCCCCACCTCCCATTGCCACCCCAACTGTGGAGCTGGCTCTAGCCAGCTTCTCCTACCTTCATCCCCCTCTCCCAGCTGCTCAGCAATCTTGGAGTAGTCCGAGCCGCCCACCACGCCAATCTGCACCCTACTTCGCAGCTTCTGCAGGAAGGCGGCCACCTCAGGGTCAATTTTCTGCAGCAGGGCAAGGAAGTACAAGACTGGCTGTCAGCATGTCTGGGATCTCCACTTAGCCCTCACTTAGTGCTCAGAATCCAGGATGTTCCACCTGGATCTGAGGCAGTTCAAGCTTTAGAACCCAGATCTTAAAAAATCAGATGCACTTGGGTTCAAACTCTGGCTCAAGTCCCTCCATAGCAGGATGACCTTGAGCAAATGGCTTTGACTTTCTTTGCCTTCTTTGTCCCATCTATAAAATGGGGATCACAGTAGCAACATCTGGAGTGGGGTGGGGGAGGTGGGCACTGTTAGGATTAAATGAAACAATGTATCCGAAGTGCTTGGAAATGAACAAGCCGTGAACTGGTGACTGATCACGTGAAAAGATTCCCCACCAAGGAAATGTAAACAAATGAGTTATAATCTATGTTTCCAAAAATTCAGATATTCAAAGCTGACAATATCAAAACTGGATGACAATGTAGGGGAGGCAGGCACTCTCAAATGCTGCTGATGACAGTGAAAATTGGTACAGCCATTTTGGAGGGTAATTTGGCAAGATCTATTAAAACTTCAAGTGCACATGTCCCATCACCCAGAATTCCTACTTCTCTTACCCACGTGTATATGGAGGTTCATTGAGGTATGGTTTATAATAGTGGAAAACTACAAACAACTTACATGATTGTCAACCAGAGAATGACACATACCTGCTCTGAAATACAGTACTGTGGTTACACAGAATAAGGCAGGCCTGTATTTCTGATATGGGACAGTCCCAAAACATACTAATTGACAAAAGCAAGCTGCAGGAAGGCACACACAGTATGATGTATGATACCACTTACTTTTTAAAAAGCCTCATAAAACAATGATTAATATTTCCTCTGGGCAAACAGAGATCCAGATGAAGGTCTGGAAGGAAGCCACGTGACAGGCAACCAGGTTATTTTGGGGAGAGGGTGGGATCCTGACATAGTCAGAGGGGACTTTAGCCTTCTGTTATGTTTTCATTCTTTACAAGAGAATGCATTCATGACTACGTGTCTAACTAAAAATTAACTTTTAGAAAGCACTAAGGACAGGGCCCGGCAATAACATTGGTGGATAGCATTAACACATTATTCCTGCACAGACTGTTGGGTCAGTGGAACAAATAGGGGGAATGGATTGGGGCTGTTCTTAGACTCTGTCACCCTCCTTCCACTGTCATCTTTCTTCCATCCCTGAGGACCCTGGGAGCTGCAGGAAGGCAGGGTGGCCTGATTCTTCCCAGTGCCTCCAAGGCTCTAGCCAGGGGCCTCCAGAGGGGAGAAGATGGGGTATGCAGGACCTAAGAGGGGAAGCTAAGACCTGTGTTCCCATCAGCCTCTGCGCTGTAACCCAGCCCTACTGGCTCCCTGCTCTAAGAGATTCCTCAGTTGGTCCTTGTGACCACAGACTGGAGGGTAGAGTACCCTCAGGGCCAGCAAGAAAGAGGCCTGCTTATCCAAGCACCCAGCTAGTAAGGATGGGTCTGGAGGCTCATCCAGGGTTAGATCCAAAGGGAGAAAAACTGGGTGTGGAGCACAGGTGGGAGGACCAATACCCGTGAGATGCTTTTAGGAGGAGAACTGCACTCCCACCCTCCAAGTGCCACAATATCCCCAATTCAACCAGTCTAGGCCTGAGAACTCTCACTACCAGGTAGACGGAGCCAATACTCAACCGAAAAGATACAGTAAGCCCTCCCTCCCTCCTTCCACAGCTAGGGGTAGAAGTAAATTGGGAGAGGGGCTTGAGAAACTAGACCCAGGCCCAGGCCTGCAAAGGTCCAGTGGGATGGTTCCGAGATTCACCGGCCTCCACCAGATGGCGACTCTGACGTTTGGGTCCCTGGATTCAGATGCCGGTATCGGGATACTGGTGCGTCCTAGAGCTGAATTGGGGTGGGAGCTCCGGCTGGGGTGGTAGGAGCGTCCCTGAGCAAGGCCTAGGAGTGTGGAAGCCTGGCGGAGGGGTAGGGATGGAAGCTAGGCCCCCGCTTGCAGCCAGCCTCCTCCCTCTAGAATCTGACCCAGCTCCGATGCTCCCGTGCAGAACGTGGGAGCGGACGCTCGGGGGTTGTGACGTGGGCGTCCGGGTGCCCATCACTCCCAAAGGGCGGCCCCGGGGTGTCAGGGGCCGGGTACTGCTGCATCCCACACTCAGTCTCGGGGGTCCGGGTCACGCCGCCGCAGTCCCCACTTTAGGCCTCCGGGTGTCCGCGACACACTCTCGACCCGAGCTTCCGAACGTCGAGGCCCTACCTGGCGAGCCGGCGTGAGGGTCCCGTCCACGTCAAACAGGCAGAGGACGCGCTCCTTCCTGCGGGCGCCCTCAGCGGTCACAGCCATGGCTGCAGCTCCGCGAGCCGGGCAGAATTCGCCGGATGTGGCCGCGGGAGCCGGGTCGGGAAGAGGCTGATAGGGCGGGGTCTGGGGCGGGGCGGGGCCAGCAGGCAGGCCCGGTTGCGCCAAAAGCAGAAGGGGCGTGACCAGGGCGTGGCCTAGGCGGGAGAGCGGGGAGGGCTCAGATGGGGCCTGGGCGGACTGGTAAGGATGATTCTGCTTGCACCAGGCGGAGAAGGGGCGTGGAATATAGCGGAGCAGAACGCCGCAGGAACGGTCGGATTGTTCCAACCCATATGGAGGCGGGGCGGGCCCGGCGGGAAGTGAGGGACAGAACCCGGAAGAGAGAGGCGGGGCCAGAGTTAGACCGTGGCGGGATGATTCCGATTGCCATCTGGTGGTGGAGGGGCTGGACGGGGGCGCGACCTCGATCTGCAGGGCATGCGGGGCGGGGCAGGGCGAGGGCGGGACTCAGGGAGCCTTGGCTGTCCCATCTCCCCCCCGCCGACCGTCAATCACTCGATGGCTCGCCCCTCCCTGCTAACGCCTTTGCCCTACAAATCTTGAGCTTTAGGAAATCTCCTGATGGCCTTTGCTCAGGATCTGGACTTTGCCAGATGGCCTTCTCCTCCCTTACTCCTCCTGCTGTTATTCTGTCCACCCCATAAGGTTCAGCTCACGGTCCACCTTCTTCAAGAAGCCTACCTGGACTCCTCTATTCACAACTATTTAACCATCACATTGACTTTGGAGTCAGTTCTAGGTTGCCTTCCTAGCTCCACCACAATGTGACTTTGGACAAGTCACTTCACTTCTCTAAGGTTTGTCTCTCCATATGTAAAATGAGAAGAACACCATCTACTTTGCAGGGTTGCTTGCACATGTAAAGAAAAAAGTGTAAAAGAGCCCACATAGTACCTGCCACGTAGCAGGCAGGCTCCTTAGGAGAATTTGTATACATGTGCTTGATACTGTTACTGATTAAACAGCTATTCTATTGCCTGTCAAAAGTCTTAAAAATGTGCAGATCCTTTGAGCCAGCAATTCAACTTCCAGAAAATAAGAAAAGGGAAAAAAAGGGGGGATCAGTTAGAGTAACTATGGTCCATCTGTAAGATGAAGCTGTAAAAATCTGTGTTGTAGAATATTTAACATGGAAAAAGCATGATTCCATTTTTGTAATTGAAAAGTAGCAGGCTGTCTCTGGGTGTTGGTGTCATCGTGAATTTCATAGATTCCCCCCCTCCCCCCCTTAGAAGTGTGTTGACTGCAGCTTCCTCTTCTCCAGGGCTCTCTATTTCTTCCTCTTTCCACACTCCAAAGCCAAAGGCCCACCTCCAGGTCCCTCGGTGCTTCCAGGGGTTGCCCTTCAGCTTGAGGCTGTGCCTGCGAGGGGATTTTTGCTGCATTTACCATCCTTACCCTGATGCCTGTGATCAACTCTGGCAGTTTGGGTCCTACAAAAGCACTCTCATCCAATATCTATGAGTGGTGCCACTGTCTACCATGCCTTGGAGGTCTCTCTCTTTTTCTGTCTTGGTAGCTGCCCTGAGGAGACCACTGGAGTCAGAGTCCAGGAAACTGCAGTCTAGTCCCCACTAATTATTAGGACTTGAACAAGTCACCTTCCCTCGCTGGGCCTTAGTTTCTTCATCTATATAATGGGGACATAATCCCCAGCTGATAAGACTATAAAAAATTAAATATTCATAACTGATACTTATCGATCTCTTTCCATTCACCAGCCACCATACCGGCCACTGGACCACACATCTTCATTCACTCTCACAGCAGTTCTAGGAGGTGTTATTGTTTTCACTTGATGAAGAAAAAAGAAAGGGATGTGCCCAAGACTGCGCAGAGCACCTAGCAGGCTGACAGGGCCAAGATCAGGGTGAGCTGGGTGAGTGAGGTCCTGGCCGCAGGCACAAAATTTAAAGCAGCATCAAGATAAATAGTATTTAAATGTAATATTTTTTAAAATCAAAATTAATGCCAAAAAAAATGCAAAAAAAATTCATGATGAACAAATTATCAAAAAAATTTTTTTAAAAGACAGGATCAATAATTGTGCTGAGGAGTCATATTGGAGCCTGAGGCAAAACGAAAAATCTGTCTTTCTTTCCAGGCCCTGCAACAGAGCTTGGTTTATTCATTAACCAGACGTGTTGTGCCAGATGCTATTCTGGATCCTGGGAACACTGTAGGGACCAAAACAAGAAGCGTTTGTTTACTGTTGAATGCAGACAGTGGGAGAGAAGACCAAACTCTTTCCCCTGCACCTCCTCCTCCACCCAGATCTGGTCTCTGTAGCTCTGGCCACTGGCAGGGCCCACCTAGTCTAGAGCCTGTGGGTGGAGCTGGAACTGCCCCAATTAGTCTCTAATATCTCACCTCTTTCATTGCTTAAGAATTTCTAGGGAACTGATTAAATACAGATGCCTGGGCCCCACCCCTGATGCTAGAATCCGGAAGCTGTAGGATGGGGCTCACAGGGTAGGACAGGTGTTTGTCTCCTATGGGTTGGGTCCACTATTCCAAAGACAAACAAAGAAGCTCTGCACAATAGCACACCTGACCTTAGACCTGTAGTGAACTAGTTTTCTTACAAATACATTTCTCAGTCTCTCCCTGAATTCTCACCTCAACCCATTTCAGTGATGAGGACGCTGAAATGCAGAAAGGGGAAGTGAATTGCCCTGCTGCACAGACCCAGGGTGGCCCTTATGATCATTAGTATGTCCCTTTAAGAGGGAGGCTCAACCCTGGCAACGGGTGTTCAGATGGGGCCCTGGGGAGGCCCTGGGGAAAGCGCAGAGCAGGACTGGGGAAACTGGGATTGGGAGAACTGGCCAGAAGGGTGTTTCCAGAGCACCCAAAGGAAGCCAGGCCTGAAAGCAGGGGGCCTGAGACCCCAACCTGGCAAGATCCTGCTCAGGAAGGAAGACTGGGCTCTTCTGGGCCAAACAGTTGGCTGAGGTTTGCAGGTTAGTGACTTCCGTGTTTGCTTTGGGCAGTGTAACTCCTACCTTGCGCGTTTCACTTACTTTTGCCAGATCCTCTGATGTGAGTACCATTATACTCAATTTTGAGACTTGGTACTGACACCAGAGAGGTGAAGTGGTTTTTCCAGGTCACACAGCACAGTCAGGATTCACGGTCCATTCTGTTCCCCTAAAGCCTGTGCTTTTCCCTGGCCCCTCGGTGGAAGGCCAAGTGTCAGCAAGCATTGTTGAATGAATACAGGGGGTGTTGGCCCTCTTTTTCCCTATCTGAAATGTGACCTTCTGAAGGTAGGCAGTCCCAGCCGGAGGGGCAGCCTCGGTGTAGTAGGTGTACAGTTAGACTGACAGTTCCAGCCAGGCGACCTTGGGCAGGTCCCTCCCACTCTGAGTCTGTTTCTTATCTATAAATGGGACTGCCCCTGCCAGCCTGTCTGGGCTGTCAGGAAGATGAGGGTGCAGGGGAGGAGATGAGCTTAAAGAGGCTCTGCAAAAAACAGGTCAGGGCTGGTTGCTGGTTTTAATTCCATCTTGGTTCAGGATCAGTGGGAGGTTGGGGAGACTGTGAGTGTTAGCTGTTTTTTCTTTATTTTTCAAAATGCCTACAGTGCTTACGTTATTTTCAGAATAAACAAGTCTGTTGAATTTAAATAAGCTAAAGGGTGCATGTTCAGAAGTGGTGTTTGTGGAGGGGGTGGAGCCTGTTGCTTGGTTGGCACAGGCCCCCTTGGGGCTCCCTCAGCCAAAGCCCGTGGGGACAGAGGTGGCCCAGCATTGCCCCTCCTGGGGGTGGGGGGCACGGGCAACGGTCTCCTGGTCTCCTGACACCTGGGGTTAGTGATCTCTGTAGATCAGAGCTGAGCCCTGAGGACTGTGCGTCACTGAGCAAGTCACTCCTCACCTCTCATGCCAGGGCTGGGGAGAGGAGTCCCACTAGGAAAGGCCTTGGAGACTATTTTGTTCCACAGTTTTCATTTTACAGATGAAGAAGCTGAGGCCCAGAGAGAGGAAGGCCTTGATCAAGGTCTCTGAGGCAGAGGCTCAAAGCAGGTTCAGGGTTTTTTATGACCAGTGTTGGCCTACCAGGACTGAACTGGTGTATTGAGTCACTCTGTGATGCCAGTAATGTGCCAGGCCCTGTGCTGAGCACTCCGGTGGTCACACCCAGGCCCTGCCGCAGCTGGTGGGAGGCACCCACAGGAGGGAGGGAGCCGCTCCGGGTGGGGAGAGGTCAGGAAGGCTTTGCAGAGGAAACGCTGGCGCTGGCCTTTAGCTCCTGGTAAGGTGTTGCTCTGAGGATAGGTGGGGAGGGGGATCCAGGTCCAGCGAAACGTAAATGGAGGCCGGAGGTGGAACCCTCCTGTAGTGATAGGGGCCTGCACTTGCAGCAGGGTGTGGAGGTTGGAGAGGTCCTGGAACAAGTTTGAGAAGGGTCTCTCTCATGGTACCTGGGGTACCCAGGACAGGCCAAGTTTGGCGGTGGGCTGGGCCGCGTGAATCCACAGCGCCACCTGTTGTCCATGTCTCTCACTGCAGCATGACCTTGCCGGGCTCTCTTCAGCGGGGAAATGGTGGGACAGAGATCCAGTGGGACTGGAGTCCGTAGGGGACTCCAGGCTCCTGGGCAAACTTGTAGACCAAGACCAGTCCCAGAACCCCGGCCCTTTCCAAAGCAACCAGGCTCCATGGCCAAGGGCTCACATTCAGCGATGTGCCAGACACCTACTGGGGGCTTTGCCTGCCCTCTCAGGCCAGGGCCCCTATGTAAGCGTGAGGAGACATGGGTCTCACCGCCCAACCTGCCAGCCTGGGCAGGCACCCTCCTACACGGTCTTGCACTCTAGAGCAGGTCTCACCTCCACGCACACATCTGTGATGAGCAGCCTCCTCTCACTTGCTGGAGCCTTACAGACCTTCACCAGGTCCAGAGAACAAAGCCAGGCAGCCACACAGCACGTCTTGCACGGGTGTCTTCAAACACACAAACATCTGCAAGGATGTTCACAAAATGCCAGCATCTCTCAGGATGGTGGGACTTCCCCCTCTCATCTTTGCACTTCTATTGGTTGCTTATGTTTTCTAAATATATACCATCTTTATACTCATATAACCAAACAATTATTTTCATTTTGGAAAAAACAAATGAAGTCTAAGTACACCCCAAATCAAAGCTGGAGTAGTCCAGGAAAAGCTCGTGCAAGCAGGGCGAGTGGCTGACCATGGCTCTGCAGTCCCGTAGCTCTTGCCTTCGTATGTTTCACAGGCCTGTTCCATTCTGTTCCTCCCCGAACAGTCAACTCCTGGGGGGCAGGGACCACATCAATTTCCAGGGCTTCCTCATGGCTCCAAGCACATAACAGTGGCACAATTCACCTCACCTCTTGTCCGACAACTTGCACTACCCTCCATCCCTGGTTTTCTGATGTCCCTCATGCCCCTGGCCCAATCTGTTCTCAACATAGCATTCAATCATTTCATTCTTTGACCTACAGGCCCTGCCTCATCTGGCCCATGGCCCCCTCCAGCCCCAGCACCTTCTACCACCCACTTTGTCCTGGTGCTCCAGCCACTCTGGCCTCCCTTCGGTCCCTCCTGTGTTCTGTGGCTTTCTGCTCTGTGTGTCTGGATGTTCTTCCCTCAGATCTACACCATTAGGTCTGATTAAACATCACCTTGTCACACAAGCCTCCCCCTCCTAACACACTCCCCCTCACACACTATGCTGCCACCTGGTTTTATTTCTTCCCTAGCGTTATCGCCACCTGATTGCCCTTTGGTCTCCCAGCCTCCCCAGAATAACCCCCGCCTGGGCAGGGCCTTGTCTCTAACACGGGTCAGTGCTGCTTCACACATAGTGAGATCCCAGGGAAATGTTTATGGGGTTGAATGAACTCACTCCAGGCTGACTAGCCATGAGTCACCAAGTCTAAGGGTAAAATATGTTCTCTGCTATTTTCCCCAGAAGCAGTCTACAGTACCTTGTCTTGTAAACTGTCCTCAGCAGAGGACTGGCCAGGGCTTCCGCATTGAGCTGGCTCGGGTGTCCTTTTAGCGGCTGTTGAATGGATTCTGGCCTCAGTCTAATAGTCACTGAGCACCCCAGTGGTACCAGGCACTGGGCAAAGCACTTTACATTGATTCTCTTCAAAACCACCTGTGAGGTAGGTCCCATTCCCCCATTTTACTGGTGAGACAAACAGACTGGCCCACAAGTGACAAAGTTAGGATTTAAGCCCAGGGTGTGTGATCTCAGGGCAGGCACTCTTAAGGACTCCTGCCTCTGAACAGGTCAGCTCTCAGGAAGCAAATATGTCAGCCAAAGCCACCTGCCTTGTGTCCTCTGGAGAGACAGAGCCTTGTTTTATTCTTAAGCTAGCATGTTGGAAAGTCAGTGCCCCAGTGCTAAGGTCTCAGTGGTGTGGTGGCAAAAACATGGCCTGGATTCAGGGACTCCACCACTTGCCACCTGGACAACTTAGTTTCCCCATCTGCAGATGGGACCAGTAACCACACTTCTAGGCTGAGCCCATGGAAGGTGTTCACGCCAAGGGGGCTGACTGAACCTGCAGTTACCTGCAGTCAAACTGCAATGTCTGGTGGTAGCCAGGGGCGTTTGGAGAGCTATCACCCACTCCAACACTTGTTCAATTGAGTTCATGGTAACAAGGTGGGGGGAGATCCCTGGGGCCACAAACCCAGCCTAGAGCCAAACTGAAACCAGAAGTGAACTCTTCTTGGTGAGGTCAGATGTCACCAGATGGCCAAGGTCTTCTAGGGCAAGATCTCAGAAGTTGGGGCCAGCAGACCAGGCTTTTGAGTCTTACTCCACCACCAGCTGTGAGGTGACCTTGGGCAAGTAGTCTTGTCTTTGGGCTCTTGCCCCATCTTTATAAACCAATGGTGAAAGTCATACATTCTTCCCTGCTAGCATCACTTATCTGCAAGGCTTACAACCAAGCAAAGGCAGCATATTCCAGACTCAGCAAAGTCAAGCTCAGAAGGAGACAGACTAAGAAGCCCCGGGTTTCTTTATGTTGGGCGCACACCCAGACATTCAAGCACTACACAAATGCAGCAGGCAGAAATGAGTTTATTGCATTAGAAAAACACCAAGGAAAACCAGCAAACACCTCCGTACTAGACACCGTTATCAGTTTGAATTCAAGGGCAAAAAGGAATCTCAAAGGTCCAAGCTTTATTTCTGGGAGGGGGTGATGGTCTCATCTCTCCTTCCTCCCTGTCCCTTTAAGCCAGTGGACCTCTATGGAGGTGTCCGCTGTGCGCTAGTTACACGCATGCTCATTTCTCCTCTGCTTGCCCGCACACCGTGTGCAGCTAGCTAGTCACAGTGAGCATGCTCCTGAGGTGCCGGGAGACAGAAATGTGAGGATGGGTTGGGGGGCGAGCCTGAGCGTGGGCTTCCAAAGTTAGCAACATTGGGACTGGGTGGGAGGGAGAGCTTGCCTTTCTGTGAGGCTCTGAGAAGCTTACAGATCCGTCTCTCCCCATAAACCCCTAGGGCACAGGAATTGGCACAGATAGCTGCTGGGTGTGAAGGAGACTTCCAATGAACCAAGTAACTCAGTCTCTGAGAGGAGCCACTTAGGCTGCCTTCTCAGTACAGCCCTGGGTCTGGAGGTGACCGCTGGGAGGAGCGAAACCCGCTGAGCCTGAAGCTGGGGGAAGACAGATGAGGAGCTTGTGATGCCCAGCACCCTCTGGCTGGAGCTCTGAGCAGAGAGGTCTGGAGCAACAGCCTGGAAGAGAGGGAGAGGGCTGGGCAAGGTAAGCTGGAAAGGAAACCCAGGTGGGAAGCAGAGCGATGGCCTGAACCAATGTGCTGCCTTCCTGGGAGAATCCCAGCCCGAGACCCAGTCTCCATGGTCCATTCTGCCAGTTGGTCAACAGTAAATACGTCCCTGCTAGTTTCTGCTCTAATGTATCATATGACCACGCACATGCTGGCAAATCAGTGGGTCTTGAGAAGAATTAAACTGCTCATTAGTTTGGCCTCCAATCTTAAGTTCCAAAATGTCACTTGACTTCACAGCTAGTCATCATGGACACGCCCCTGGCCAGGTCACAGGTAGACACTAAGGCAGAATGATATCTATTCCTCTAGCTGAGACCCTGATGACACCAACTGCTACGGCTGACAGCAGAGACAGGAGGAGAGGAGGCCAGAGGTGAGCAGCAGCTTTTGGAGAGAAAAGGCACCGGCTGCCGGCCAAACACCAGGAAAGAGAACATAATTCAAGTCTGAGAAGGGCAAGAGCTGCAGCAGGAGGGGCCCAAGGATACCAGGGCTGGGACTCAGGTACCTGGCAGCTCTGCGTCCCCGCTCCACCCTCACTTCCCCCAAAACTAAGTTAAGGGGAGGCTCCTGTGAAGAAAGGGAATCTGCAAGCCTCTCTAGATAAGTTCCAGATTGCTCCCTGCCTATAAGCTCCTAGCAGCAGCTCATTAGGAAAATGCCCAAGCACGACCCCAACCATGCTTCCTGAAAGTCAGAATGACAATGGAAACAATACGTGTCTTCAAAACGCATCTAGCACAATGTAAAAATCCCTATCAGGAACAGCTCTAAACTTTCTTGCCACCTTGGCTCTGCACTGTTATCCCATCCACATCTGGTGTATTTTCCTGGAGCAGGGAATCACTTCCCCTTGGTCCCTAGCAGAATACTGCATATTGGTCTGGGTGGGGCAGGTACAGTGACGGCAAACAGCCTCCATTGTGACTTGCAGACATAAGGGCCCAGCTCTCTGGCGCTCCAGCCCAGACCTTTAACTCTGACAGGTCAGCCTTGCCAAGGAAGAGCAGCCTGTGGGCAGCAAGGCAGTTCTCCAAAAGTGAAGTCAGAGGTTTGGCAATCAGCCTGGGAGGAAGGAGGAATGGCTTTATCTGTTTCCTCTGGCCTGACACTTTCAGTCACTCTCCCTTGATCCTGAGGCTTCTGGCTGCTCCAGGCCTGGCCCCGTGGCCTTGCTTGGGGTAGAGGAAAGAAGGTGAGAGAGCTTGTGGCTAAGGAGTTTATTTAGGTTGGTCCCACGTGCGCCAACTCCTTTGGTTCATTTAACGCTAGAGAGTAACTGCTTCTGGGTCATGGATGTGGTAAAACTCACCTGGGTCCCCCAGGTGGCAGCAACTTGGATAGAGCATGGGTGTTCTCTGGAAAGAGGTTCTAGGTTGGGGCTCCCCCAAACTGTGCTTCCTGCTTTCTGCTTAAACAAACCCCCTTTCTCCAGCGTAGAGGACGCTTAGGAAGCAGCGTCAGAAGTGAACTCACAGACAAGACAGCCTTAATAAATTAGTATAATACTATTAGAAGGGGTGGCATTTGTTCTGTTTCTTAGCAGCATTGTCCTACATGCAGCCTGATGATCTCCTTCCCTGGGAAATTTAAAAAGCCGTCCCCTGGTTGTTAGCTCTGATGTAAAATTATAAAATAGAAATCTGGTAGGGTTTGTTTTGTTTAAAAAGGAAAACCCTGGTGAGGCAGGGCGGTCCCATGCAGTCCTGTTAGCTCTGGCCATTGGGTCGGCCCACGGTGCTCCCTCCGGGAGGCTGGATCTGGATTGAGTCCAGGAGGGGCCGCAGGGCCTGTCCGAAGGGCCTGCGGAGAAAATAGACACAGGAGCTAGAGTGGGCTCTGGGGCGCAGACTGCCCCGCCCCCCCCCCCCCCCCCCCAGATACACTGGGAAGGACACTGGTACCTTATCTAATTTCCTCACCTTCCTCACACGTGCTTTTCCATACAGGGGATCTCTAAAGAGCCCACTCTGCATTTTACTCCTGGGGCCCTCTCCTCAGTGGGTGCTACCATCTCACTACCTTCACCTCTCAGTCCTGGTTGGCTGGGGCTTGAACAGGCTGGCTACATACAGGCAACTAGAGCTTTCTGGATTTTAGGTACTTGCACCTTTAATTCTCATGGTACACGAAGATAAAAATAAAGTTTAATGAGGAAGCTGATGCAAATGAAAACCAGAAAGCTAGGCGTGAGTTCCCAGGAACAGGTCTGCTAAGCATACAGAGAATATAGCCAGGAAAAACATCAGAGGTGTTAATGCTCCTTTCTAAAGGGCTCTCCGTTTGCTCTCAGAGTAGCTTAGCTGGAAAAAAACACTGGAGTCTTGGAGACTTCCCAAGATTACTGCAACCTTAAAACAGGTTGCCCACAACACATCTCAGTTACTGAGCTTTTTTTCCTTCGGTGGATTCTGCCATTCTTGAAAATTGTCCCCAAGTTCAGAGGGAATGAATTCCAAAACATAAACAGGTGGCACTGAGAAATAGTAACCCCAATTCAGACAAGCCCAGGAACTCCACCCATCAAATAACAGCAAGAACGTTCCAGCTACTCAAGATTCTCAGGGCCCCATAACCTAGATCCTTCAGTAAAGCTGTCGGCTTTAACACACCCATCAAGGAAGGCAGGGCCAGGGCTGGGAGACAGGGCTCTCCTCACCAACTTGACACAGCAGCCTTGTTGCTCATGTTTTTCCTAAGGGGTTCCTACCCATGTGTGGAAAACAGCTCACCTTGCTGGGCCTGCTAAACCTATCAGTATCCCTGTTAGGATACCCCAACAAGAGAAACTGAGTCAGACTTAGCAAAAGGACACAGTCCTGGAGTGGGTAGATGCTGTCTGAATGCAGTCCATAGCAAAAGGGTGTGTGTGTGTGTGTGTCCTTGTGGGTAGATGCTGCCTGAACGCAGTCCATAGCAAAGGGTGTGTGTGTGTGTGTGTGTGTGTGTGTGTGTGTGTGTGTGTCCTTGTGTCCTTTCGGGGATGCCACCTGGATGATGGCCCACCAGGTACAAGGGCAAGTAGCAAGCTGTCTGAGGGCATCACAGAGCTCATGGGGCAGAGGAAGAAAGACTAACAAGCAAGCCACCCTCTTAATTCTCAGACCTACTCTGCTCATCTATCTAAAACTGCATTTTAGGCAGGCACTTGTGGGGCGTGGCAAGCTTCACGTGCAATTGGGAAAGGCAGATGCCAGGAATCTATACAAGTGGGTTTCTAAGTTCTGCGGTTGCACTCAGGCCGAGGTAGAGTTGGTCCAACTCCAGGGAGGATGAAGGTAACACAGGTGAGCACCAGTAAGTAGAGAAAACAGTGGCCTTCCGTGTTAGAAGCTGCCATCACGACAGGGCACACCCAGCGTGGGAGGATTCTGACAAGATTGAGGGAGAGCAGATGTGGACCAGAGGGGCGGCACTGACTGTGAAAGGGGATCTCAAAGGCAGGGGCAGAGACACAGGCCACTTACGTGGAGAGAACTTCAGCGGGAAGGTCAGTGATGTAAGAAGGAATCTTCTGCCCGGTCAGGAACTGTGCCACTTCGTTGCTGAAGGTGTTACAGTTGTGCTCAAAGAGGTTGTAGGCCTCACCTCTGTGCTTGTGAGAAAGGTTTGGAGAACAGAGTGAGAGTCAGCGAGCAAGCATCTGAAATAACTCCAACCAGGTAACGGAAGGGTGAGCACTGCTGAGTTTCAGGCCTCATTTCCCTCCTCCCTCCGTTCCTAAAGGACTGCTCGATTTGCCTCTCTGGCCCAAGGAAAACAGGCTTCTAAGGGGAGGATGAAATCAAAATATGTGGCTCCCCTACAGTTTCTGGAGGATCTTTACTTCACAGAAGCAGAGCTCTAGGGTTAGAGTGTAGCATTTATTAGGGCTGGCTGAGTGGCTCAGTTGGTTAAGAGCTCGCTCAAGAGTTTGAGCTCTGAGCAACAGTGGTTCGATGCCCAGCCCGAGCTGAGCAGCCGCTGAGCTGCCAACAGGTGGCAGGATGGCTCAGCTTAAAAAAAAAAAACAAAAAGAGTGTAGCATTTATTGAAATCTACTAAAGCTTCTTTAAGAGACAGTCTGCTCAAGTTTGCATTTCACCCCAACTCCTCTACAAATCCTGGTTTTGATTTTCAGGACAAATGTTTGGCCAGTACAGGTAGGGAGCAGGATTTGCTGAAGTAGCAGCCCCTGATTGTAATCAGAAGGAATAAATAGCCCTTCTTTCCTCAAAGGTTCAGCAGAAGGCACACTGGGATGGAATATCGGCCTCAGAGCAACACTGTGCTTCTTTTGTGCCCTGACGCCTTCTCTCCATATTTACTTGGCAAATGCTGGAGCAGGCCTCGTGTGAGGGACCTGGTGGCTGCCCTACAGGGGCCGATTATCTAGTGGGGGAGGCAGACACACTGATTACCACCCGCCTCCACTCACCGGAACAGAGACTCCCCCAGGGAGGACAGGTACTCCAGAAAGATTTCTTCTGTGACTTCTGTGTTCCCCACATCAACCACAGAGTCTGGGGGCCCAAGCAATGTCCCTCCCTAAAAGAGCCAACCCAAAGAAAGTCATTAAATCACTATCTCCAATGAATCGTTTAATGTGGCTTTCCACGGAAGACCACAAATGCTCTGTTCCAACAATGTCTAACTCTTAGAGCACCCAGGGCAGATGAAGGGTGTTATTTCCTATTTGTATCAGGGCTATCGTGGCTTAGAGCTTCCCGGAGATTTTCCACTGCCATGTGCTGGCAACATGGCTAAGGAATTAGGCTTCTTGCTTCTGGTAGGGCCCTGGGAAGCTGAGTCACAAAGGTCAGACTCCAGACACTGTCCACTCATTCCATGGATAAAAAGATAGAAACCCAGAATCTGAAGTCTCCCTTTGTCTCCAACATGCCGGATCACGAGGGCAGAATGACACTTAGAAATGCCTCCCACTTGCCATCTTTCTTTCTTTTTCTTCTTCTTTTTTTTTTTTTCAACTTCCAGTATCATTTATTTTTCCTAGAATCTGTAGCAAGACAGTGCTCAATACTATTTAAGCCTCATTTTAGGCTCTTTGAACTACCTCAGTATTTGTAAATGTGAGAATTCACATTCTAGTAACTGGAAAACTAAAATTTGACATACCAACAAATTTACTCAATATTGATGTTAACTATACAAAATTTTATATGTAACACGTGGACTTTTAATACAGAATTTGACCTTTGTAAACTAGCTTACAGATCAACAAAATGGCTCATTGCTTATCTGTCCTAATCTATGACGTGTTGCACCAACAGAGAACAGACCATCTTTCTATGCCTATATTCATGTTTTGTGACATACTTGATATCCCTTGTAACACTGGGAAAGTGTAAAGGACTGTGAGAAATCTGGCAGGCTGGCAAATCTTTACACAATTCAGTTCTTTTATGATCTGTGAGGATAATCTAACGATGCTGATAGGGTTCCCCAGGCAAGTGAGTTAATGGCCTCTGAAAGGCTTACAGAAAACCCTCTGCCATGAGTTAACAGGCTGCCACAGCAGATCAAGGGAGAAACCGGCCATGGGGGAAGCAAGAGGGTCAGTGGGATAGACAGAGCTGGGATGGGCTGGGGAGAAGGGAGAGCACCCTAAAGCTGAGCTCCCTGCACAGACCATGAAGTTATGCAACAGCTAGTGAGCACCTACTATGTGCCTGACATTGTTCCAGGCATTGTGGCAGGCACGGTGAGCAGGATAATCATGGTAGTCAGAGAATAATTATCTCAAAGTTGGAAGAGACTAAGAGGTCACTATTTGACCCCCATAACATTCACTCACATAACAAATATGTATTGAGAACTTACTATGTGCCGGGCCTTATGCTAGGTACCGAGGGTATGATGTGGATAAAACAGGTGAGATTCTTGCCCTCAGGGAGCTAAAAGTCTAGCGGGGAAGGCAGACAAAAAAAATCCCATAAACCAATGTATTATTATGAGTTGCAGTCAAGGTCTTGCTGGAAAAGGACAGAATGTTGCCAGTACACATGACAGGGGACCTTTCCAGTCTGAAGGGTCAGAGAAGTCTTGCCTGAGAAAGTGACATTGAGCTCAAATCTGAAGGATGGAAAGGCATAGCCAAGTGAAGGGTCAGGAAGGTGGACGGAAGTCAGAGGACTGGGTTAAATGTCCAAGGTGTGTTCAAGGAGTGGGAAGAGAGAAGGGAGGGGAAGGGCATGACTTCAAAAGAGGCCATCCAGAGAGGGAGACTGGAACGAGGTCAGATAGGGCCTGCAGGCCACGCTGAGCTTTCTGGGTTTCACGCCAAGACCAACGGGGAGAGATGTGACTTAAGCAGGGGAATGCCATGACCAGGTTTTCATTCTGAAAAGGTCACTTTGCCTCCTGTGTGGAGGACTGACTGAGGAAGAAGAGTAGATGCATTGTATGGTCTGGGCTAGACATGAGGGTAGCCTGGATTAAGGTGAAAGCTCTGGAAAACTGGGAAGAGATGAAGAGAGACAGACTGATTTGAGATCCATTCCAGGGAGAGCTGACCGGGCTTAATGAAGGACTTGTTATAGGAAGTGGGAGACCAGGGAGAGGAAGTTATCAAGCACGACTTCCCATTTGTGAGTATCACAATGAGTGGCTGCTTGGTCTTTGCTTGAGCATATCCTGTGACAACTCTTAGATCGCTCAGATGGAAACTGTTTGGAAAAGCGCATGGGCTTTAGAATCAGAGAGCCCTGAGTTTTAGTACTGGTGCTACTTACTGGCTGTGTAACTTTGGGCAACTCACCTCACCTTTCAGAGCGCTCACATTCAGCTTCACACTGGCTGAGCTATTCTATGAGCCAGTCACTGAGCAGGTCATGGGGACAGAAAAGTGAGACAGTCTCAGCTCACAAGGAGCGTACACACAGTTCTCTGTGGAGACTCGGGAACAGCTCATTTCACAACACTCTCAGTGTGACAGAGGGACCAACACAGCGTGGCAGCAGAGGGAAAGGCAACCGGCTGGGGGTGCGGGGCTCAGGGGTTTTCTGGAGCTGAGTCTTAAGGTAGTTATGAGGAACTATGCCATAGGCCTGCATACACTGGGCTGGGAGCCAGAACATACAGAGGAGCAGCAAAGCGCCTGGTCTCTGGGAACCCCAGGAACCTGAGGCTGCAGGACAGGGGATGGGGGAAGACACTCACCGGGGGACAGCTGGAGATACCACCACTGCCAAAGAAGAACTCATCCTTGTGCACAACTATGGAGGTGTGCCTGCAATGCAGAGGAGAGACAGAATCAGCCAGAAAACTTAAAACCGGTTTGAGAAAACGCAATCACCACACTGCAGTGAGGATAATTTCTGCCTAAGGATGTGACCGTGGTCAACAGCCTTATAAAACTAACCAAAGGCAAGATAAATCATCATAGATGAGGGTCTCTGAACTTTGGCAATACTGACATCTGGGGCTGCATAACTCTTTGTTGTGGGGAGGTGTCCTGTATGGTGCAGGGTGTTGAGCAGTATCCTGGCCTCTACCCACTAGGTGCCAGTAGCACCACCTACCCTCAGTCGGGATGACTAAACATGTCTCCAGACACTACCAGATGTCTCAGAATTGTCCCTGGTTCAGAGCCACTGCTGTAGATCATGTGAGCAGAGGGGAGTCCTTAGAGATTCACCCCGATATTGACAAATTAATTACTGAAATAAAGCTCTGCAGACCAAGGTGTGTTCCCAAGCTCTTTAAACTAACAGGAACAGTTCACCTGGACCGTGCTGAGGGAACGACCAGGTGACGTGAAGTGTGGGCCCAATTCAGGTGAAGGTGCTCACGTTACTCGGTTTGAGTTTAAACAGAGCACAGGGTCTCTCTGGTCACCCAATGTTGGCAGACTCTAGGAGTCAAGACGGAATACTGACCTATGGTCTCCGCACATAAATGGAACTGAGAGCTCAGCCACCGTCTTGTTGTCTGACATGGATGGGTCCAGTACTGAGAGACCAAAGTAGATGTGTTTTCAGACAGACATTTGGGGCCTTGGGTCTTTTGTAGTTAGAAAGCTTGGTCAGGGGTGGGCAGGACATCATCCTGCCTTTCTTCAGGACAGGGTTTCTCGCCTTTGGCACTACTGCCATTGTTGTCAGGATAATTCTTTGCTGTGGAGGGCTGTCCTGTGCATTGTACCTCTGGTTTTTACCTGCCCACCAAACATGTCTCCAAACACTGTCAAATGTCCCAGGGAGTGGGGAGGGGCGAATCATCCCTGGTTGAGAACCACTGCATTACAACTTGAAGAGTTATGATATAGAGGGCTAGGTTTCAAGCTGGAAACCACAGACTGGAACTTGAAATGCACAGGTAATGCTTTGTTTCATAAACCAGTCACTGTAAGGAGTCCCACCCAACTTACCAGATGCCTTCCAGTTGTTTCCCTGTGGAGAAAAGAAGAGATTTAGCCACTTGGGACTAGACTAAATGGCCTCCCAGCCTGAGCAAATTCAGAACATCACTCAAACCCAGAGTAACCAGTTATAAACCTCTTGGGGGACTTTCTAGGGATGCCATTCTCCTCCATTAAGGTTCCTAGGTCGTGACACAGGTACGTCGTGCTAAGTAAGTTGAAAAGTGATCAGAATCCTTCACCATGATGCAAGATAGGAACACTGGTATAGATGTACCCCAGTTTAATGCCTGCCTCTTTTCTCTTTGGGGTCAATTCAACTTTGCCTTTTTAATTTCTTTGTCTCATGAATAGAGACTAAAGTAAAACAATAGTATAGAAAAGCCATTATCTGCTTCTTCATTGAGCATATGTGAGCATTGAGCATCCTTTAGAAAATGAGAGCAAAACTTTGCAAATGCCTCCCATTTAAATAGTCAATACAAATGTGTACCTCTCAATGCCAGAAATGATGTCAGGTATGGAAATGCAAATATGAACAGATCACTGTCCTGCCTTTAAGGAGCCCAAAGTCAAATGGGAAAAGAGACACAGAGAACTAAAACATACATTGATAGGCTCTATAATGTGGTAAAAGGAAGGTGCTATCTATAATACAGATAAAGAACTACCTACACAAGCTGCCATTCAGCCAGTGAACATGGAGGGGCAGGGATGGAAGTTTCTGCCAGAGGAAACAGCAGGTGCAAATGCACAGCTGTGAAAAAGACTAAGGTCTTGCAGGGTGGAACAAAGGGTGCAGTGATGGTGGCCAGCAAGGGTGCCAGCAAAAGAGGGTATGCCTGGATTGAAAGCCATCCTACACTGCGGGGTATTGGAAGTTGATTGAGGGAGGCAGCAGAGTGCCTCGATCAGATACATGTATCTTCTAAAAAATAACTGTATCTTCTAAAAGATAACTATAGATACAGGAGATGAATTGGACAGAAGAGCATAGACGGAGCCGACTAGCATGAGGAGGTCTTTGCAGTAGTCCATGGGAGATGCTATACAATGGTGCTAAGGATGAGAAGGGAGGGTGGTGAGAGGTGTGAGAACATTACCGACACCACTCATTCGCCTTTGGTTATAATTTCACGGTAACTGTTTACCGATTGCTAAATGTTATTTCAATACTTTGCCCTGTGACTTTTTAAGGGATGACACTCTAAGCAGTGTGGAAGGAGAGGTGATATGCCTGTGCTTCTCCCTTTGTGTAAGTTACACCATTTCCTATCCTAGGTAAATTATGCAATTTACCTAGAAAATAAATAAAATATATTTATTGCCCCTTTAAGAAAACATTTTAAATGAGATAGAAACCATGGCCCCTTCAGGATGACCTACTGATGGCTCAGCGTAGTGTCATCAGAGGCGGTTAGGAGTACAACATGGTTTAGATCCCAGCTTTTCCTCTTACTAGTGGTGCATCTTGGGCAGTTGACTCAACCTCTCTGAACCTCAGTTTCTTCAATACAGAGTTGTTGTGACCAGTAATGACAACATATAAAAGCATCCCAGTGTGTGGTACACAGAAGTTTGATAAATGGAGACTACTATTAGGTATAACAGCCTCCTTGGGAAAAAGGGTAAAAACCTCCAAAAGGGAAATGAAATTTAACTTCACTGGGTGGGTAAGATCTAAGAACAGATTTCACCAGCAAATTAAGTATGAAATACTGTATCTATTTTACATGTAAACATTTTATTTTTTGCTGGTAGTATTGCAAGGCCTAATGAAATAACAAAGGAAAATAAATGGAACAGAGTTCTCTTGCCTCTCTTCCAGTTCCAGGAACCAGTTTGCTTTTCACTTAGAGATGGATCTGCTACTCTGGCCCCCAGGATCACAAAGGGACAGAGGGGTTTTGTCCTGGGGTTTCTGGAGTAGCTCCTAGAGACTGTGGGGCAGGCTCTGCCCTTATCCAAACTGAGCTGAAATTCCACAGAGCTGGATCAGAAACAGGCTGGATGTCAGAGGGGGGTCCATTTAGGACAAGCATCTTTAAATACTGGCTTAACAGGCTATAAAATAAACTGGGTTAGATTTTCATCACTTCCAGCTGACTCTGGAAGATCACTCTAAGTCTCCCCTTCCTGTTTACTATGTGGAAAATGGGGAGATTAATGTTGCATTTTAAATGGAGCTGATGTGCTCTTCTGGACTACCATTTACAAAACAGCTTGTTGTCTGAATGAATGGTAGCGATTTGTTGTCTATTTCCTTGAAGATGTGTAATAATGCAGTGAAGCTGGACAGATTAGGGATACTGCTTTCTTTCATTTGTTCCTTCTCTCATTCACTTTGGGAGGAATGCTACATTCATAAGAGATAAAGTATAGTGTAGTGAATAAGACACAGGCTCCGGTGTGGACATGTCAGGTCTGAGTCTTGCCAGCTCCATCAATAACTAATGTTTACTGAGGGACTATTTCAGGCACTATTCTTGGCACTAGGAACACATCAGTTAACAAAGGAGACAAAGAAATTCTTCATGGCACTTATGGGGTGGAGGGAGGGGACAGTTGATAAATAATCATCATCATCATCATCATAATCAATCATGTTAGCAATAATGAGTGATATGGAAAAAGTAAGGGCAGGGCAAGGGAGGTTGGGCGTTCCAGGGATAGCCAGGGTGGGCGTCTCTGACATAGTGACACTTAAGCAAAGACCTGAAGGAGGCAAGGGAAGGAGCCATGCAGAGGCGGGACAGGCCAGGTGGATCTGAGAGACCTTAAGGAGGCCAGGGTGGCTAGAGTGGGTAGGTGAGGAGGAGAAAGGTAGATGAGCAGAGGTAACAGAGGACCCGATCACATAGAACCTTGTAGAAGCTGAGAACTTCTCTCATAGTACCTTGGTATGGAAGCTACCTATTTTGGGGTCTTTCTCTCCCATTAGACTACAATTGTGTCAAAGACAAGGGTGGTTTCTTATGCATCTTTGTAATTCCTGCACCTAGCAAAGTCCCTGGAACAGAGATGCTAAACGCCCATCTGCTGAGATGTGCTATTCTGTTTTGTTAGCTCTGTTGGTTGACACAGCGCTATGGAGGCCTACATTCTTAACTCCAGTCTTAGCTGCCCTGGTTTGTTATTCAAATGACTTTGCAACCCTGGCATGTTGCACTGAGCCTGCTACTGCTCTCAGGTGCCCATGCTCAGTGACCTAGGAAGACAGCTGGACAGATGCATCAGTTCTAACCCTGCCCTACTAAAAGAATGGATTTTTGGAGCGGGGCCTCAGAGACCATCCTGTCAGTCATTTTACACCCGAAAACAATTCAAAAGCTGAAGGATACAAACCCTACTTTATTCTCCTTGACAGTCTCTGTGTTGACCGCTAACTTTGCCTATAAACTAGACATTACGCTTCCTCCTTATTCAACTACATCAAGGAACACTTACGATCTCATCCATTCGTAGAATGGTGAGAGGGACTATAAAAAAAGGCCCTCGTGCTCCTTCTTTCATTTATTCATTTATCTGCCAAACACTTGGAGCCAACATTTAAAATGGATCGAGTGGGTTTATATCCTTTCTTAAAGCGCTTCATGTTTATCCTTATTCTCACACATCTGTACGTGGTAGAGTAGGGTAAATATTTATTAACATCATTTTACAAGTAAAGACACATGGTCTGTCCCGCATAAAAACAAGAAAAAGCAAGCTATGTGATGTACTTGTTGGAGCAGTTGGAGCAGCTCAGGCAGAAATGTGAGGGTGGCTACTTTGGCAGCCTGCTCTCAGGAGGAGAAGAATAAAGGCCATGGCCTCCTCCACAGGTGACAGGCCCTGGGAAGTGGGGCTGGATTGACCTTTCCTTTTTTTAGACTGGGGTGGGAGTAGGTGAGTAGGAGGTGGTGGTTTGAGATTGAATTAGGGCTCCAGGCCATTTTGGGACAATGAATGAGGCTCAGTGGATATTAGCACATTACAGAGGCAGATGATTTTCCCGCTGGGACTTCCTCAGCAAGCTGGAGAGCCGGCCAGACGGCTGCAGGTCTCCAAACTTGTTGGCACGTCCAGTGCATTGATTTTGAGGCCTCTGAAGTATGAAAACCAATAGGAGACATGGATATCTTCCCTGTTTTGGTGTTTTTAAATCATGAATAACAAAGGCTGTAGAGTGAGGTCTGCATTAGTCAGCATTCCACTGATTGTAAGAGTAAAGTGAGTATGTAAGTGTCAAGGAGAAAATACTCCATCTATTCATCAATTAAGACAGATGGAGCCTGTGCATATGGACATACTTCCTGGTTGTAAGACGTGCTCCAGATTAGCAGCTGGCATACTGCTGGTGCTAAATGAATGTCTAACAAGCATAAAGTGGATGATGATGATGGGGCAGACAGTATTCATGGCAGGCGGCACAGCCTTTGAAAAGCCTAGAGGTAAAAAAGAGCTGACTAGGTTCAGATCTGTCAGGGTATATAGCAGCCCTTCTCCATTGGGGGTCTGTAAGAGAACCAAACCCTAATGTCCCGAGGTAGCTATTGGGAGAATGAGAAATAGTCACTCAGGTCATTTTCCCTAGGGCTTAATTCTCTTGTGGATCCCGGTTGAGAAGGGCTCACATCAGTGTGTTCAGTAAGTAGAGACAGGTGACGGCAGAGGGACAAGCAGGAGCAGGATCACAAAAAGCTTTGTACACCACATCAGTTTTCATTTTGCCATAAAGAAAATGCATGATCACTAAATTAATTCATTAGATGGGTATAAAACAGTTCACACAATGAACAATAAAAAGCTAAAACAAAGCACAATAGATGGCATTAAAACAACAAAAAAAACCCAAACCCTCTCAGATTCAAATACATTCTGCTTAATCTTCAAGCTTGAGTTCAAGTCTCAATCATCTCTATAATCAGTATTTATTGAGCACCAGCTCTGACTGGCTTACTGGGGACATGTGGAGGAATGAGACAGAGTTCGAGGAGCTCAAGGTTCTCGCTGAGGCCATGAAGGCCTCTCCCTTCTTTCAAGGCCTAA